TACAACAGTTCAACATTGTTTAATTCAATTCTATTAAATATTATTCAATTTAACAACAAATGGAGATTATTTAATCCAATTACGATTGGAGATTTCTTAATCCAATTATAATTGAAAATTGTTCAATTTTACTACAATTGAACATTGTTTAATTAAATTTTAATGAATATTATTCAATTCAACCACAATTTTAGATTATTTAATCCAATTAGAATTGAATATAATTCAACTATATAACAAAACAATTAAATATTGTTCAATTAAATGCAAATAAGTATTATTTGATTCAATTACAATTGTATGATATTCAATTCAATTACAATTGTTCATTATTCAATTTAATTGAAATTGAATATTGTTTAATTCTACTACAGTTATTGTTTAATTTAATATATTTTGTTTAATTTAACTACAGTTTAGTATATTTAATTTTAAAAACAATTTTGTTTTTAAATTAAATTTTGTTTACATAATTCAATTCTAATGAATATTATTTAATTCAACAAGAATTGAAGATTATTTAATCCAATTAAAATGGAATATTATTCAATTATATTACAAAACAATTAATCTTCAATTGAATTCAAATGAATATTATTCAATTCAATTACAATTGTATGATATTTGATTCAATTACAATTGTATGATATTCTATTCAATTACAATTGTTTTTATTCGTTTAAATTACAATTTTAAATTATTTAATTTAGTTCCAATTTCATATTCAATTTAGTTCAATTGCTATTAAATATTATTTACTTCAATTGGAACTAAGGATTATAATTTATTATAATATTTAATTCGATAGATATAGTTACAATTATGATATGATACATATTACAAAGGACTATAAATAATTGTAAACATACAAAAATTTAATAAGTAACTATTGAAATTGTTTTGAATTCTAATTACAGTAACTAATATCTGTAATTACAGTAAAGAATTAAAATTACATCAGTTATGATAATATATTAATACTACTATTATTGAATGCACAAAATAACAAATAATTAATCACAAATTGTGAGAAAAAAAATAATATAGAAAATAAGGCACAATTAACAATTATTGTAAAGTTATAAATTATACTAAACAATCAATAAATATCACATTAATCAATAATTAATTAATTGCTAATTAATTGATTATCACAGTAATTATAATTAATAATTAAAATACTAGCAGTTATAATAAGCAATTGAATTATAATAAATAATTGTAATAAATAATTATAATTAATCAATTCGTATATTAGCTGATATATATAATAAACAATTGGACCAACTCGAATTTTATAATGTCCTAAATTGTTTATTGTTCTGTAGAATTGAAACATTAAATATTTTTTATAATATTCAACTAGAATATCAAAAATATCGTATCGCTTTATTTATATTTATTATATAAAAACAGCATCACAAAATTATAATAAACAATTGTGATGGTAAATAATTGCTACAAACAGTCCAAATATATTTGGAATTTATTTAAAATTTTAAACAATTAGAATGTCATGCATTGGAATAAACAATTAAATTATTACGATCTATGACAACAATTTCAACAACGACAACATTTATTATAAACAATTGGAATATTCAGAATTATATAAACAATTGTAAACAATTCCAAAACAATTAGAACATATTTAGTATTAAACAACAACTATTACTACTAATAAAAATTATAATAATAAATTATTATATAAATTATGAACAATAAGAAATTCTAGATTTTAACGGAACGATGCATATCACGAGTATATAATTCTATTATAATTATTAATTCATTGTAAATTTAGATTTAAAACTATTGATCCACCAAGAATAATAATGAAATAGTGAAAGTCATAAATTACCCTAAAAATAGTAAAATGTTTATTGTTTAGTAAATTTCATTCAACATATTTTCTAAATTGAGAACAATTGACAAATAATTACTGAATTTATGGTATAAATTTGAAAAAAAGTACTAAAGTTATATTCACAACTTTTCGGTTTATGTTCGGGAATATGGGTTAAATGTGTTTATATCTAATTTTTGAATAAAGGGGGAAAAGATTTTATTTCTATAAAGGTGAGATATATATAGTGTTTTGTTATGGTATTATATAGAGTATTATGATATAGTATTAATAGTATATGATATAGTATATGAAATCTGAATGAAGTAAATAAAAATCCAATTCATGTTTCGAAAGTAATAAAATTCAGAACCCCTTTGACTATATATGTATATAGCTACTCTCGGACGGCTCCCAACTCACTAATTCGTTCCTTAACTTCTCGCCTAATACAATCAGAGTTAAGATAATTAAGGCCATCAAGGCCGAGAGGTGGTTTCCTCTGAAGTAGGGAGGCCAAGTGCAAACGCACCACGTGTTGCTGGCACGTGTCGATTTTTGATTTGCAAAATTTTACATACCAAAGAAAAAGCAAAAAAAAAAAAAACATTTTTAAACTTTTTTTTTAGCTGAACAGCAATTTTTAATTTTTCAACTTTCCACCATTTTTTACAATCTTGTTTAATTAGTAGAACATTTTTTTCCCTCAAAGTCTTGTTTTTTTCATTTACCATTTATCGCGAGACTTATTTCTTATTTCGTTGGCAGAATATCTTATATATTATAAATAATAACATAATTATTTACACTATTATAAATAATTATACAATTATTTATACTATTATAAATAATTATACAATTATTTATACTATTATAAATAATTATACAATTATTTATACTACTACAAATATTTTTTTTTTAATAATTAATAATTATAATTATTATGAATAATTATAATATAATTATTTGTAATATTATACTATTCGTAATTGAAATGAAATAAATAAAGTAATAGAAGAAAAGAAAAAATTAATTGGACGTAGAATGTGATCATTCATTATTATTTATTAAAACAGTTTTATGGAGAATAGAATAGAATTTTATATTTTATTTTATATTTTATTTTATATTTTATTTTATATTTTATTTTCAATCAATGAATTTGTTATTGTTAAGTACTTGATAATCAAGAGCAGATGTATTTTTAAATCCACAGTACATAAATATTTGATGCAAGAATACTTTCAACGAAATAATAAATTGATGATAAATAAATAATAAATAAATAAAAAAAACTAAAAATAATTATCGAATTTCAATTTTTTTATTTGTTAAATATTTCTAGGTTTCAAATTTGTTAACTTGAAAATTTGTATTACAATATTATTTATTCTATATTATTTTATTATTTTTATTGTAAGAGTACTATTTAACAAAAGGTCTTGTCCCGTTTATTATAAATAAATAAATAAATAAATAAATAAATTTTTTTTCTCTTTTATTGTTGTTATGTATTATTTAAATTTATTATTTTTGTTCATAATTTTTAGAGGCTTCAGTTTTTATCTATTATTATTTTATTAATTTTTCTTTTTTATTGTTATTATATATTATTTAACTTTATTTTTATTATTATTTTTATATTTTATTTTATTTTTATCTACTTTTTTTTTGTTTTTCTTCCATATCATTTTTATTTATTTATTATTTATTTATTGTTTAATTATAAATTTTAATTTTATTTGCGTATTGACAAATATTACCCAATGCTTCATTGTTATTTTAGAAATTTATTATTATTTTTCTTCCATTTATTTATACTTTAATAGTGAATCAAGAATTTGATTAAAAAATACATGTTCGCCAAATTTTTTTAATTTCAAAGTTTTTTGTTTTATGAAAATTTAATGAAGTCATGTATTCAGTTGAAGAATGAAAAAAGAGTTAAATTAAAATAAACTCTAAAGGAGAAGGAAAATTAAATCTGTTTTTAGTTCTATTAATTAAATAATAAATACAGTAAAAAATTTAAAATGCCAGAATTTATTTCATCATTTTTTGCAATAAATTTAGAATATTCAATATTGAAAAACAAGTCTAATGTATAAAATTTCAATTATAATTTGAAATTGAAACACTTTTTGTTTTGTAAAATATACTTTTGAGAAATAAAAGAAAAATAAAAAGCAAATAAATAAAATTTATCAAAAATTGACATAAAAAAATATAAAGTAAATTAAGACTTAAACAATTTAAGTTAGAATAATAAGAGAAAAATTTAATTGAAAGTATAGTATTTTAATTTACAGTATTAATTAAATGAGAAACCCTATAGAATATTAGAAAAATAAAAATTAGAAAATTAAATTGAATTTAAAGAATTATGTTGAAATTATCCGGAAAAGAAATTAAAAAACAGCAAATTGACCAATTTGGAAAGTTTTAATATTGCAGTTATTTTTAATTAATAAATGAATATGTGACAATAAAGCGCTCTGTAAAAAATCAGCAGCGCGAAAAACTGCAATAATCGCATTAAATGTAAATCGAAAAATACCAAAAATTCTACAATTCTGAATTAATTAATTTTTCCTATTAAATTAATGGTAGACAAGAAAACATCGATTTAAATAATTTGTCAATTTACAAAATTAATTTTAGTAATTAATTTAATTTTCTAAAATTTACATCACGCCATTGATTTTCATTTATAAAAAATTTTAAATAATTAAAAATTGTATTTAAATTAAAAAATCCATCGTCAAATAAAAATTCTTGCAATTTGTTAACTGTTCTCGCACATTATTTATACAATAGAATTGAAATTATAATTTATTTCGACACATTATCAATTATTTATAAATTATAATTAAAAACCACTTATTTAATTAAAGAAGAAAATAAAAATCCTGCTAATTCTCGTTTATCAAAACGAAAATTTCGGCAAAAATAAATCACAGCTCACAAAGAATCCGTCGCTTAAAAATCGCACACTTGTTTAAAAAAATTCACAAAATCCTGTAATTTTTTCAATAACCATTTTCTTCATCACCAATAATCACTATATTTCCCTTTATTTCTCTCTCCCCATTTCATTTTTCGTTCCGAACAATAAAAAAATTTTTTTTTCGGTTTCAAAAAAAAAAAAACTTACCGGAAATACCATGAATGGAACCGCCGGCGGAGATATTGTTGAGCATTCCTCCCCAGGAGCTAAGCTCCTGTGCTCCTTCCTGTTTATCGCAGCTTCGAAACTTAAAATCTTTTTCAAATTTTCGCAAAATTTTTACTTCTTTTTTTGCAAAAATGGTTAAAAAAAAAATCCCTCACACTAGAGAGAGAGAGAGAGACAGAGAGGGGGTGTATGTTTTTGGGTCTATGGAAAAAAAATTAAACCAAAAAAAAAAATCTTTTGACAATTGCCCGTAAAAAACAAAAATGAACCCCTTTTTTTCCTCTCTTTTTTATTGAAAAAGAGAATATTTTTTTTGTTTTTGAAATGATAAAAAAGCGCGCGTCACAGTTATACCGGCCCGCGCCTCGCGAAGGCATACAGCAAACTAGTTGGCTGCCATATCCGAAATCCCCCACCATGGAAATTTTACATTCCCCACCCGTTTATTTCACTCCATCGCCTCCACCTCGGAAACTCCACCACCAAAGCTCCTATTCTCCACTCGGGGGGCGTGATATTAAATTGCTTCTATACCTGGGGTTTGGCTCTCTTCAGGAGCGTATCTCCAACCATGGAATTTCCCTTCTTAAATATAGATAATATAATCTTATCGAGAAATCATGAAAAAAAAGAGGAATTAATTTACAACTCTTTAAACTGCGCTCTCTTCATAAAAGGAGTTGAGGAATAAAAAAAATAACACCCACTCTTTTCTTCTTCTAATTTGTTCTATATTTAAAATTTTAGCACCGTTTGACAAAACTGAAAAGTTTCCTCTAATGAACTTAAAAAGTTGTCAGTGGATTTATATTTTAATTTTATATACGTATGATGGGTGCAGTTAAATTTAATTTACCACATTTATTTTACATGTTTTTCTGAGGAATTCAATTTTTCTGTTTAATTTAATTTAATTTAATTTAATTTTATTTAATTTTATTTAATTCTGTAATTTAATTTTGTTGTTTGACAAGTTACTTGGAACTCTGATAGTGGAAAATTTAATTTATAGAAATATTTTAATATCGTATATGAAAATATATGGATAAATAAAAGGTAAATAAAGAACCAATTTTTAACGCCTGGTTCAATTATTTTCGAAATTCTGAAATTTAATAATGGACTGAATTTTAATATCGCAATTTTGGCAAAAAACCAAATCTGAATAGAAAATAAAATTTGAAGTGATTTAAGAATCTAATGTATAATTTTAACTGCGATTTAAATCAGTGACTGAATTTCTGCCTTTGAATTGAATTAAATTAACGGTTTTAATAAAAATTTCAATTTAATTGAAGTAAATTTAGAACTTAAATTTAAATATAGTTATATAATGATTCGTCTAAAGATTCCAGACATAGAAACTAATTTTTTTTAATTTTTATATATAGAAGTAGAAGTAAAAATATACAGATAAAAACTTGGAGGGGAATAATAAAGTATAAACTATTTTTAATAAATATTAAAAATAATATCAAAAAAAAATTCGACGATCGGGAATTGTCATTTTTTGTGTCGTTTCGTGTCCTTTGGTCCCTGATTGATAACAAAAATTCCGTCTAATTGTGACGGAATGGAACCAAATTGAGTCAAATTAAGACAAATTGTTTCCGAATTAAACAAAATTGAGTCAAATTAGTACCAAATTAAGTCAAATTGATACCAAATTAAGATAAATTGTTTCCGAATTGACCCAAATTGAGTCAAATTCAGAAAAAATTAAATCAAATTAGTACCAAATTAAGTCAACATTGTATCAAATTGGTACCAAATTAAGTCAAATTGATACCAAATTGATACCAAGTAAGACAAATTGTTTCCGAATTGAACTGAATTGAGTCAAATTCAGACAAAAGTGAATCAAATTAGTACCAAATTAAGTCAAATTGATACCAAATTAACACGCAACATTGAATCAAATTGCTACCAAATTGAGTTAAATTAATTTGATTTCAATCAAATTAAATCGTTTTAATCAAAAATTAAAACTAAATTGAACCAAACTAAATCAAAGTAATTCTTAATTTAGACAGTTTGGTAACAATTTGATTCAATTTTGTAATAAAAAATTATTACAAAATTGAATTGAAACTCAATTTGGTACCAGTTTAATTGAATTGTGAAAGTAAGTAAATACGTAATTATTATACCAAAATAGAACCAAATAAATTGATATCACAAATTGAACGGAAATAAATACGAAAATTAAACCAAAATTAATTGAAAATAATTCAATATTTAATGTACCAATTTGAATTAATTTGGTATCAGATTCACTCAATTTGGCACCACTTTGATTGAATTAAACAAAAATGAATGCAAAATTGATGTCAAATTAAACGGAAATTAATACGTAATTAAACCATAAATTGAGTCAAAGTAGTGTACGATTGACTTAGTTTATTGGTACCAATTTGATTTAATTTTTTTATCAATTTCTCTCAATTTGGCACAACTTTGATTGAATTGGATGAAAATAAATATATACGAAGTTGATACCAAATTGAGTCAAATTGACACCAAACTAAACGTAAATTAATACAAAATTGAATCAAATTGACTCAAATTAATACACATCTGACTCGGTTTGGTACCACTTTGATAGAATTAAACAAAAATGAATGCAAAATTAATGATGAAAAATTGAATCGAATTGGTACCAAAGTGTAAGAAAATTAATACGAAAATAAACCAATAGTTTATACCAAATTGAGTGAAATTGATACCAAACTGATCCGAATTGTTACCGCAAATATTGAGTCGAATCATACCTAAGTGAATTAAATTGATTAAAAAAATTGGGTTCAATTTTCGTTGCAATATTTAGTTTATATAGTTTTAATAAGTTAACAGTGTTGTCTTTTATTTATTAACAAGCATAATATTAAAAAATAATAAAATATATTTAGTTTCTCAATAATAATATCTAAAAATTAAATTACAAATTACTTTTTTCTATTAAAAAATAAATTCTACGATTTTATACCTACAAATATATTTTACATCTAGAATTTTGTCTGATAATATATGTTATATACAAAAAATTTTTGTCGTACTTTTCATATTTTTACAATCGTCGTATAGTTTTCGATATATGCAACAATCTCTTTAAATTTTTTTCAGTACCCATAAACGCACCTTATTGTATTGTATTGTATGCGAAATCGTATATTGCACCTTATGGAATCGACTAAAGTAGCTCGATCTGCACCTCAACGGATATACGAAGGGAAAGGGGACAAGGATTATGTTTCCGCAGGGAATTGTCCGAGTCATATATATATTTCAAAGTTCATGAGTAATTAATTTTCAAGAACGTAATAATCACCTCTCGTAATGTATACCTTCTGGATATTTAGAAGTCTAAAAGGCTTTTTTTAATGTATTACAATGGAAAAATTAATTACCGAACCTTTCAGTACAATTTTTTTTTCTTTTTTACAGCTTTTGCTGTTGCGAAGCAACACTTTTGATTCATTTTTTGTCTCACTTTGATTCATTTTGATTCACTTTTTGAGTTACTGATTTTGACTCACTTTTGATTAATTTTTTGTCTCACTTTGATATTTTTAGCAAAAGCTGTGATTATAGTATAAAGAAATGACTATAATTGTTTGTTAAGAATTGAATTTAAATAATATAGTTACAGTTTATTATATAATTTTGTAAATAATATCATCAGTTCTATTAAGAGTTGATCCTCTTTGTGTATTTTCACCTTAAAAATTATAAATATAGCCTACAATTTTAAGGTCCCTTTTATCTTGAGGCGTCACATTGTCTTCTTAACCTTTGTTAGTAAAATAATAAGATACTCTTGAATAAAGAATCTTTTAATATAATCTTCAAAAGTCGTAGAATAAAGGCGCACTCTTGAACCTTAAAAAAGGCTTCTTTTTGGTCATTTAAACTACTTTATTAAGCTAATGGGTACTTTGTCAAGAAGTTTTGGAAGGTACACAAAATTTTATGTATTTTTACCTACAAATTTTACCTATATAATTACAAAAACAGTGCTTCAATCTTTTAAACCAAAATATACAAGACTAACGTTGCAATTTATAATGCTTTTGAGCCAAAAATTACAAGACTAATGCTGCAGATTATTCTTTAAAACTATAAAAATTTCAAGGTTAATGCTGAAATTTATGCTCTTAAAACAAAAATTACATGTCTAATGTTGAAATTCATATTATATGCTTTTAAAAAAAAATTACAAGACCAAAATGCTATACAATTTATGCTTTTGAATAAAGAATTACAAGGCTAATGCTAGGGATTATTATTTTGAAACCAAAAATTACAAAACTAATGCAACAATTTATGCTTTTGAACTAAAAAATTACAAGACTAATGCTGCAATTTATGCTAAACAAAAATAACAAGACCAATGATACAGATTATATTCTTTTAAACCAAAAATTACAGGACTAATGCTACAGATTATTCTTTTAAACAAAAAATTACAAGACCAATGCTGTAATTTACGCTTTTCATAAAAAAATTGCCAAACTATAATGCAACAATTTATGGTTTTGAATAAAAAAATTACAAGACTAATGCTACAGATTATTCTTTAAAACAAAAAATTACAAGACCAATGCTACAATTTTATGCTAAACAAAAATTACAAGACTAATGATACAGAATACAGATTATTCTTTTAAACTAAAAAAATACAGGACTAATGCTAAAGATTATTCTTTAAAACAAAAAATTACAAGACCAATGCTAGTTTATACTTCTAAACTATATAAAAATTACAAGACTATAATACTAAAGATTATTCCTTTAAACAAAAAATTACAAGACCAATGCTGTAATTTATGCTTTTAAACTAAAAATTATAAAACTAATGCTACAATTTATGCTTTTAAACCAAAAAAATTACGAGACTAATGCTGCAATGTGTATACTTTGCAACCAAAAATTACAAGATTAATGCTACAATTTATGCTATTGAATAAAGAATTAAAAGACTAATTAATGCTAAACAAAAATTACAAGACCGCAATGCTGTAGATTATTCCTTAAAACTAAAATTACGAGACAAATGTTGTAATTTATGGTTTTAAACTAAAAATTACAAAACTAATACTACAAAGAAATGCTTTTGAACCAAAAAAATTACAAGACTAATGCTGCAATTTATGCTCTTAAAACAAAAATTACAAGACCAATGTTTGTTTATACTTCTAAATTATAAAAATTACAAGACCAGTGCTACACAATCTGGTTCAATAGGTTCATTAAAGATGCATCAACTTTGTCAATTTCCCACATGGATAAGAGAATAACAACCGATTACCATGCGAGTGTACATTTCGCTCGATGGTCCAAATTCCTAATGAGTCTGGCTCGAGTCAC